TGTGTGTGTGTGTGTGTGTGTGTGTGTGTGTCACACACACTGTGACACTCATGTAGAAATAATAAGGGCCTGATTGCGATTTGTGCGTCTCATCCTTGAGCAACGCCTATGGTCATCTTGTCTGTGTCTTCCAGTTTTAATGGATGTCCCTGCTGCACGCTTTCAAATTTTCAATCGGACGGGTTTGATGGCCTCTGTCGCCGTGAGCCAGCCAGCGGCAACCACCGTTAGTTCCCTCCGTTAGTTCGCGTCCGTTAGTTGATATTGTTCCCCGTCCCTGAAAGGCGGCGAGAATACTGTATGTGTCTTCAGAGTCTTGAGAGATCATATGGTTGGGCCAGGTTGGCTCATAAGTAGGTGCCGTGTTCGATTCCAATTAAAAGTTAACGAATTTCGAAAAGTCGATTTCTTCCAGTTTCGTCTGTGGGAATACGGATTAAAATAAAAAGTTGGACGAAAGTTGGGCGAAAGTTGGGCGAAAGTTGGCCGAAGCTTCCCCCCGTATTTCGCAGCCACGGTGCTCTGTTGAGTGCAATTGCACGAAAGATGGAAAACTCGTATTATATTTTATTATTATTTATTTTCTAGATTGGAAATTAAATTGAATGAAATGCAGCGCATCGGCAATACTTGTGGACATTGCTTCGTAAAATTGTAATTAGTAAATAAATATTTCAGAAAATGAAAAGCGTCGCGGCGCAGGTCATATTTGTGCGCAGAAAATAAATGCAACCGATATAATTGGGAATTATTTTTTTTCGATTCACAATTATAAATAACGGAGATCTATGGAAACAACAGGAATATTGATTTTTGTTTATATTTATGTATTAAATAACGTTTACATCGAAAAATAAACGTCCGCAATTGCTTTAAATTAATTAACTTTTTAATCCGCTCCAATGGTAATGACTTATGTGAGGCATGCTAACGAATGAATAAATTTTAGAAACGAACACAAAAAGGAAAAAACCCCGTCCGTCTAGGGATTCCCGAAACGGAAAAAAAAAAAAAGAGAGAGACAAAAGTATGTACCATAAATAGCACAAACTATGATACAATTCCGGGCTATTCGCCAATCCAGACTTTTTTTTTTCCTCTTTTTTTTTTGTCCTTTTGATTTCCCTCTCCTTTTTTTTGTTTTTTTTAAAAAAAGGGCGACAGCTTTGGGAGATCATCCATTCATCATTGAACTGACCGGATCCATGTAATTTGGAATTAATTAATTCTGGTCAGCTGATTGCATCTGAATCTGGACTTTAATGAATAACAACATACGCAGAAAATTTATAACCGGCTGTGCTTGTAGATTGGCGCTCTCTTAATTCGTATAGATTTAGTATTCACATCAATATTTGTCACAGCCCCTGGTTTGCTGCCCTCTTCTCTCTCTCTGCCTACGGTTTACCGCGCAGTTCTGTTTGTGATGATATATATATATATATACATATCTTTTTTTATTTTTTTCTCCTGCTTCAGATGTTCACTCCCATACCTTACAGAAATTAATACTTCCTTTGGATCGATGACTACTGGAAAAAACAATTAATTTTTTTTTTTTTTTAAATCGGTTATGAAGGTCCCTACACAGAAAAATACTTCAATAATAATAAGAAAATAAGTTGCGTTTTATTGCAGCGTTCCGTAAAAGTTCTTCTTGGACTTTTTCGGTTTTACCTAGTTTTTTTCTTCTTCTTTTTATCGAAATTTTTACTTAAATCCTGGCCGTAATATGAAATATTGATCGCCGTTTATTACACAGACGCCTCTATTTTTTAATTACATCGTTATCTATTTCCTTTGTGTGCTGCCTGAGTTTTTTTTTTTATTATTATAAAAAGTTCATTTTTTTCCTGCAGATCTGAACTTTCAGATGAAAATCCCGACGGTCCATTTCTAACGCCGTGTTCGTGCAAACAGTCCGTCTTCACTCCTTTGCCACCGTCTTGCCCCGATTAGAGCGTACGGTCACTATATCTGCATTTGGGTCCGCGGGCAGTCTAGATACAGAGATAACTGTCATAACGTTTTATTCGCGGGAAGACTGCACTCGTGATACACAGGCAAAAGGACGGGCTCTGCCGTAAAGCAGCTGTGCTCTTCTGTTTAATTAGGAATTTAGGAGGCCTAACTTGTAAGTAGTGGCTCTTTTTTTTTTTTTTTTTTTTTTTTTTTTTTTTTTTTTTTTTTNCAGAAGCTTCCGGAAGGCCCCAGGAGGCGGCCTGCGTACAGCAGCTACTGGGCTGCTGGGCCTCGTTCGGTTGGGCGCCCAACTGTCTCTGTATGAGGCTGCGAATCATGCCCAGGGCCTGCATTCTTTGGAAAGGCCCGGAGGGCCGTGAAAATGTCTTTGTTGCTCGGCCTGTGTTTCTTTCAACCAATTGGCGCGTCGCAACTGCCTGGACCCCAAATATGAAACTGACAGTCGAGGGCCCTTTGCAAAAAGCCAGGCCCGCCAAAAAAAAAAAAAAGGTTGGCAGTCAACGGCAAGTGGAGAATTAGAGGCAAGGGCTAACCAGTAATAACCACCACCAGTACCTTGCCTCTACTTCTTCAATTGCACTTGCTACAAAATCAGGCCATGCCCTGCAGACAGACAGACAGACAGACAGACAGACAGACAGACAGACAGACAGACAGACAGACAGGCAGACAGACAGAGAGAGAGACAGAAGAGACAGAGAGAGAGGAGAGAGAGGAGAGAGACAGACACATAGACACATAGACAGACAGACAGACAGACAGACAGACAGACAGACAGACAGACAGACAGACTGACAGATGGACAGAGGCAGAGACAGACAGAGAGACAGAGAGAGAGGAGAGAGACAGACACATAGACACAGAGACAGACAGACAGACAGACGGAGACAGACACAGAGAGAGAGAGAGGCAGAGACAGACAGAGAGAGAGAGACAGACAGACAGACAGACAGACAGACAGACAGACAGACACAGAGAGAGAGAGAGAGAGAGAGAGAGAGAGAGAGAGAGAGAGAGAGAGAGAGAGAGAGAAGATACCATTTCCGAAACGTTTTCATTGAACTCCCAGGCGAACCGTAGACTGGAAAGGAGACGACTAGTGTCGCAGAAGGGGTGGTCGGGCTTCCGGGACTAAATAACACACATATATTATCGTTAAATACCGAGAAGACTTCTATCGCATCGCAGAGATATACAGAGAGACGAAAATGGTGTACGCAGCTCCTCATTTTGTGAAAGTCCAAGTGGAGGCTTTCGTCTTTCTGGAGGTGCTCGAGGGAATTGTGGGTTGGCTGCTCTTCACCGTGGTGACGATCGGAGTTGGGGCCCTGGGACAGTTCATGACAGATCGGATTTTCTGGACAGGCGTTGGCATGTCCGTGCTTGAAGCTAGCTCAAAGTTTCTTCGCGGTCGCATCCATCGCTTCTTTTTCCATGGTATGTCCTGCTCCCAGGTGTCAACAGCTCAGGGTTCCTCATACCGATACAAGCTGGGAACTTACCCCGTTCTTGGTGGTCGCTTTCGTGTCACGTTCGCCTATGTCTTCATCATTGCACTTGTCCGCCTCCTTGTGATGGTCGCTCAACTGTCTCTAGGGATTCATATGCACCAACAGATCCCCAGCTTTAAAAAGCGTCCCGATTACCCCAAAGAAATGGGCAACGCGCGTGTAGTGGAATGCATCCAATTCACGTACGCATGTCTGTTATCGCACTCAGTCCTTGTTGGACTGCTCATCTTCTTGCCCCGGTTCTGGGCGTCACTCGCACCATATCTTTCAAGGGTGTGTGGAATATGTGTTGGTTGTGGCGGGTGTTGTGGTGGCGGGTGTTGTGGCAGCACCTGCTGCCAGGAGGCAGAGGACGACAGCTCGGCATTACGCGATTGTCCGTTGATCGAACGCATGGATGCAGCTCAGAGAGTGATGGAGATGGGGGTGACTTGGTACGTGCATCGTCATCGGCACTGGTACTTCACTGCAGTGGAGGCTCGAAGCAACAAGGAGCAGTGCGGACTTCCAGGCTACTGGTTCTACAGCGTGGAGAAGCTCGTGAAGCAGGTGGGAGATCACTTGCATGACCTGGCCGATTGCAACAGGCACAGGGCATCAAGGCGGCAAGGACGGAAGGTCCGCAAGGAGCTGACGATGGCCTTCGAATCTCTTCTGGAGCTGTCCCGAGAGCAGAGGGCTTGTGAATGCGGCGATGGCGTACCTGATGAGACAGCCACTTACCTTCAGGACCTGCCTCAGACTAGCCGCTGCAGAATTGACGCGGATGCCGGCCGCGACTTCGCACGAGCTGGAGGCTATCTTGTGATGCTGCAGGTGCTCAAGTGTTGCCCACAAGACTCAGAAGATGCACAATTGGCTGCTTCCATCTTGTCAGGCTTCGCTGCAGGTCTGTCCGTTCTGACCTGGCAGCCTGGCCACTCTCGCGAGATCATTCACATGCTGGAACACCCAGACTTCAGCTACTGCACGAGGGAAGTGCTGGAGCACTTGGGTGACCAGATGAGGCGAACCGTGGCACAATCCATTCCTGCAAACGTCCCTCCAGACGTCCCTCCAGACGTCCCTCGAATCACACCGCAAGCCAACGCTCAGGCCAGCGCTTCAACATGTCACTTCTCTTCTGCTGACGACGAGTCCGATCGACGCTCCCAGGAGGGTAAGCAAGACACACACAAGCTCCAGGGAGCTCTCTTCTCCGCAATCTGTTCCTATGCAGATATGGCCGGTGACGTCTTTGCGCACCTGCGGTGCCCAGAGCGGTCGCAGGCTTCACAGTCATGTAGAGGGCAGGGCAACGGTAGGCTAAGCGTTGTTGATCCCCAGCGATATATTCGCAGGCTGAGTAATGCCTTCACCACTTTTTGTCCTCTCGGGTGGTTCCTTGGGGGGAGCTTTCCTCCACTTGACCCCCTCGAGGATGCCTGGTTGGAGACAGTGAGGAGTTCATTCACTGACGAAATGGGTGGCATCAAGAACAGCATCCTGCATACCTTGCTGCAGTGTGCAAGCAGTTCGTCTTCCTTCCCTTGCAAGGTGGTGACCGACTGCATCAGGACCCTCTCCTGTCTCCTCTCCCGGAGGATGATCTATTGGCACCGGTTCGATATGCGGCACGAGGAGCTGCCTGAGCCTTTCATCCAGATCAGCTCTGTCAACGCGTCTGCAGAACTAAGGAGCGGACTGATGGACCTGGTTGTTCGGTGCAGCAATGAAGATGATCCGCTACATTGCCTGCCGGTTTTCTCAAAGCTGCAGCTAGCCAAGATTCTTATGTCTCAAGACATAAGGGATAAGGACGAGAAGGTGGTCCAGGTGCTTTTGTCGTGCCTCAGTTATTGGAGGAGATCACTGGGTGCCAAGGAGCTCGATTGGCTGGCGTGTGAAACTGTCGAGATGCTCTTGGATCTCCTTCGCACTACTACTCAGGCCAGAGCTGACATCAAACAGTTGATTGCAAGCTCGCCTGGGGGTCTCGAATGCCTTGCACTGATGCTCAGACAACTATTCCCCAGGATGGATGCTGTTCGTATCTTCAACCCACGTCACACCCCTAACCGTCAGAAGACTCAGAACGGGTTGAATGCAGGCAGGGACGGCAAATGGGCGGCCACGGAGCACAAGTCGATTCGTTGCTCGGCGGCCGCAGCAGCACTTTTAGAAGAGATGACGACTATCAAAGGTGATGGGCCTGATGACTATGGTGAGGCGAGCATTTTACTACCCAACTGCTCGGGATTACTCAACAGTTTGAAGAGCGTGATAAATAATTTTTGTGACCACAAAGAATCAGGTGCGATGTCGAATCGCCACGGAGCAGCGGAAGCACAGGGCTGTCCATGTGGCAGCTTCGAAATAAGCCCAGCTTGCATGCAAAGGTTGTGGGGATGTTTTAAAGCTCGTTGCCTACTGCTCTTCGTCGAGTCTCTCGGCCATCCCGCATGGCTTCCTCCTTGCTCGTGGACAGAGGCCATAGATAGCGTTTCACAAGGGGAGCGGCACAACAGCATGGAGGACCTGGAGTACGATGTGAATGTCCTTTTGGCAGCAAGAAACGCCGTGAGTTTCGCCTGCCATCTCATCCTTTCTCGCTGGCCGATGCTCAGTCAGTACCAGTGCGTCGTCCTCTTCCCTTCATTGGTTCGGCTGCTTCGACTGACCCCTCCTGGGCCTCCTGAGCTGCATGCAGTCCTCGTTTTAAAAGATCGGAGCGACGAGATAAGGTGCAAGATTATGAGCTTGATCACTGTCATTGCGGCCTTAGCCGAGGAGATGGTGAACGGTCGCACGGCATCGTCGCTGCCCCAAGGCATGATAGAGTCGCTCCGCACTAGTCTGAACGAGCTCGGTCCTCTGGACAATGTGCAGCAACCGGAGGACCCCATCGGGCCGCAGGACCAGATCCCCCTAGACAATGACCACTTGGAGGAAGGGGAAGATGACGCCCCCCTTAATGTCAATAGGCAAAGAGTAAGCATAGGGCCTGGCCCGTCGACGAACGAGATTGGGCCCACTGGGGACAATGAGGAGTCTTCGCTGGAGTTCGGTGATGGGGGCGCAGCACAAGACCTGGAGGGACATGGTCTTCGTTCAAGCAAGGAGAGTGCTCAGCCTGAAGGACGCACGGAGCAGTCTCATAATCCTACCCAGCACGCAGTCGCTGCAGTCCAAGACATGCAAGAGAGAACTGAGAGTGTACAAAAAGATGCGCAAAGCAGCAGCCATGATGCTTCTCAGACCGTGGAGGAGGGCACAAGCGCACAGGGGAGCAGCTCTGCCACAGGGGTTTCTCCCCCTAACATAGAGTCTGACCCAGATGAGCCAGAAGTCCCTGAAACCTCCTCCATGGTGGAGATAGTCGTTCGCAACGGGACGCACAGAAAGACAAAGCAGCCGGTAGCTGAAGAATGAGTTGGGGTGTAACATCAACTTGAAGGCCGTACAGTCCGTACTCACACTAGAACTTTCCTAAATGTATCTGACCCTCCAGAGCTGGATGAATCTGGCCGCACTCACGTCCAGAGCTTTGTAGAAAAAGTCCTAGTGTGAGTATATCGTAAGATTGGTAAGGGTATTAGGTATGATGTGTAAACCGTGTCTTTTTCAAAGCTGGAGATTGCTTCTTCCTCCACTCCCCCCCCCCCC